TGGCTCATTTGAAGGCCAATGTAGAAAAATTATTATCGAGGCTTCACCCCCCCCCCTCCTTCGTTTCCTTTGTGTACGTTGTCAGTAGACCCCCATACGCGAGCTTACGCATTTGGGTTAACCCCCCCTCCCCCCTCCATGCGTACGTACTAAATGGATGGCCCCTAAAGCGGCCTCCCTCCACTGCTATGGCCCACACAACTTCCCCCCCCCACACACCCTCCCCCCTCTCTCACGCCCTGATCATCTTAGCGGATATCCTTTTAAGATCCCTGGCACAGAATTTCCGCTTAAATCGTTGGATTCCGGGTAAGGCCCATTGAGCTACAGTAAATAGCTCTTTTTCAGAAGCAACCTGGCCACAAATGATCGCCAAACGAAGTGGCTTATCGCGTGTAAATGTATAGTAGTCAAATACTTTGAAGGCATTTTTTCTAAATGTGAAGGGAAAAAAGACCGGAGGACCCGGGGAAACATCCACGCGACCTCGGGAAGAACACGAAAACTCCAAATATGCATCCGTCAGGTTTGGGATCGAGCCCACGAACTCCTGCATACCAGGCAAAGGAGATAATATCTCGCCACCGGGGGCCCCAAAATTGAGTGCGGGAGGGCCGTGATTTTGGAACTCTCGCTCGTCTCGTCATAGGAGCTCTTGCTAACTGATGTAGGTCGCAAGGGGCAGTTCTGTTTTGGTGACGCGACACGTAAGGCTGCTGGTATTTACCTGCGGGGCAATGTGGAAAGCCAGTGGAGTGAGCTCTCTGCGGGGTGCGGCATTGAGTGGAAAGTCTCTAAGCCACAGATACACACACACACAGAGTCCAAGAGTCGATTATATAACAGCACTTTATAACCATAAAATGTGCGAACACAATCCACGAAATGGCACTGGCAACTACGCCATGGGGTACAATTATAATTCCTGGCTATTTCAGTCAGTAAAGTGAGAACATTCGCATCGATACAGGATATTTATTGAGCTATTTGAAATTAGTTATAATGTGCTGATGGGAAAACCATTTTTATTGATATGATCAAATGCACTATAAGCCTTGTACACAATAAATACGAGCGTGCATTCATAAATGCGTGTAATCTTGTATCGCATAGATTTGAATAAAAAAAAGTGCATTCTTTGACCACGTATGATTGACATAATAGATTTATTGAGATGTTAGACAGGAGAATGGATGGCAGATAGGGGTTGAGAGTGCTCCGGGGATGGCCCTCGGTGGCTGCGTGTGGTATGCTGAGAGCCCACCGCAAGTGGGATGTCTTGGGACCATTCGATTAGCGCAACGAGGACCCTTCACTTTTTAGTGCTTGGAAGGGCCAATCGTAAGTGATGCATGCGGCCAGACCCCGTTGCTTCACCGGCGTGACACCCGGCTAATAACACTGCGCAGGGAGTTCTTTGTTTTTGGTGTAAATATGAAGCAATTACTTAGATGAAAATCTCTGACTGACTTAAGCAATGTGCTTTATTTTTGTGTGCGTGTCCTCCGCATGCCAATGGATATCACTGACATCTTGACGTCTGTGTCGGGTCGCGGTGAGCCCGCTGCGCTACCAACCGAGTTTGATTGCCGCTCACGGCCAACCACCAGTGACGATTGTGTTAACCCGTCCTGCGCCTCCCTTAAGTCGACTCAGCCCTCAATGAGCACCTGGTGCGGTGTGTAAAACTCGCCACTGGGGAGACAAAGGCAGCCGGGCGTGGTGTTGGCCACCCACCCCCTCGTGGCCTTCATAAGTGCTCGCTAACAGCACTTGCACCCAACAATCTGGTAAGGCTATACGGGGGATAATTTGTCCTTGTTACGGGTGGAGTGGTGGTGTAGTGGTTGGTGCATTGCGTTCCGACGCTGGCGACCTAAGTTCGATTCCCATTCGCTGTTCAAGTCGGTGATGGATATGTTCACCGGTCCTGGGCCTCCCCTATGTGTACTCGGCCTTGAATGCGTATCTGGTGAAGTGTGTAAACAGCACCAGAGAGATCAAGGTGACCAGGTGTGTTTCGGGCCAAACAACTACCTTGTGCACCATGTCGGACTTAATAGGCGTTCACTAATGGCACTTGCCCCAATAATGGTATGTGTGGGCTACATAGGGAATATTTTTTGGTATGTCTTAGGTACTTCTAGATTTAAAGCTTTCGTGACTGCTAGGATCCATACTCTTTGGTTCTATTGGGTAAAGTCACGTGACTTTACCCAATAGAACCAAAGAGTATGTCTTAGGTACCTCTGATGTTGTGCTCTTTTGAGTGCAGTTAAGACCAAACAGGTCAAGAGGTCATCATGGCCAATGGATTTCATCAGATTAATGAGGCTAAATGCACAACTGTGTCAAATTGTACTCTAATGCAGTATGAAGTGAATTTACAATAAAATTAACAGTTGATCAATCGGTGACAACTAATCAATCGATGATGAACTACCGAATGTTTAAATAATTGTACATAAATTGTGCATGTATTGGAGTTGCGTGATTGACTGTGCAGTATCCGTGACCTGGACATCATTAGCTGGGAATTTTAATAACTTGTGCTACCTATTGGCTGAGACTTGCTCTGACTACCAGGAGCACTGCCAATAGTTGCAGAAAAGAATTTGCTTAAGGGACATAAATTATAAGACGTTTTGAGTCAGTCATTTGCGGGAAATGAGATAAGATTCAGGCTTAAATCTTGAAGTATTAAGACTCAAGCTTAAACCTCATTATTTTGGAGAGAAAAAAAATATAATCGGTAGATTAAATTTGTGCCTGTGCATGTTGCTTAGAAAATTTCACACGAGCTGTTTATGTGAACAGGGCCTTTGACCAAATAACGCGGACGTCACTTGACCCCATTAGATATCTACGATTAGCACTATTGGCTATGTACGGTGAGAAAGAAGTTCAATATACATATGTACATTTTGTCTGGTGACCACAACAATAGGCTTTGTGTGTATTCATGCGCTGTGCAGCAAAATCCATTGTTAGTTTAACACAGTAGGCTTTCGCGACAAATATTATCCATACTAGAGTTGCTTTGGGGTTATATCGCATTAACAAAACGCGGCAACTCGTCACTAGTTCAGCACGCCGGTGTGTTGGAGAGTAAAAACCCCAGAACATTTTACGATTCGAGTACACTCTCGTGTTGCACATCCACTGACGTTTCGCGTGGTGCCCTCTCCGTGACCACCACCTTCATCGGCTCACCTTCATCGATGTGCACTGACCAGCGCAGCAAAGTAGATGTCGAATATCCTCTTCGTGGGCCTGCACAGTTTGTGGAAGGGGCAAGGCGGGGGTTTGGGGGGTGTCATCCAGCAGTTGATTGACAATACTGGGCCGTGCACGCGAACAAGGCACGGAGAGGCGCGTACACTGCCCTGCTCTTCACGCTAACGGCGGCTGTGCAATTTCAATGTGGGTTTTTTTTTGTTTTGTTAATAACCTGTTATGCAAAGTTTGTCACACCGAAAAACACCGTGCGGTTTTGTAAAGGAAATGGCCGAGAAACAATTATTTTTGTCACGCCTAAAAAAAAAACCTACGTACATTACTGAAAGGATGGTACGCTGTTACAAAGATTAGGGAATTTATATTTAGTTGAGGATTATGGAGATCTGCATAATTATTTGCCTTCATTGGCACGCTGAAATTTGATGTAACTTTTACAACCAGAAAGCAGTGAATTGCAACTGCATGGGATGTCATGGCTAATACGCTGGACTTGCAATGCAGAGGTCACCGACTCAATCACGTGGGACGGCAGTTGAATCAATCATTGGGTAAGTCTCTTAGATCCTCCCGTAGCTGTCCACCTAGCAAAATGAACGGGTACACCAGTTGACCGACAGGTTGCGCGTGGCAGGATGAAGTGTGGGTACTCCAACCTCTTCCTAGAACAGGGGTGGGCAAACGTGCAGCTTCAGAGCCGCGTGCAGCTCTTTCAGGACTTCAAAAGTTACTTATCCAAGACCACCGTCTCGTAGTCACCACAGTGCATTGCGTCTCTTGAAATATCGAGTTCTATTTTTTTTACCGAATTTGCAAAAATAATGGCTCAGCTTGTTATTTGGGTTGCCCAACCCTGTCATAGAAGTATGTCCAATGTGGAAGAGTAGGCCAAATACCCCTCTGGAGGGAGCTCTCTCGAGCTCACTCGAGCCCTTCTGTCGGCAGTGGCGTGAGCAAATCAGTTGCAGGGCTGCACATTTACCCTTTAGAACTTCGGCAATGTGCTTGGTCGACTGCGGCACACACCTCTGGGGTTACAGACCAAGAGGGAGATCGAGATAAGGGGGACAGGAAGTTACAAAAAAATGGAGAAAGAACAATAAAGTAAGAGAAAGCCTCTGTGTCCACAGACGTGAAAAGACGGGTATTATTCCAGCAATGCCTCTCTCACACGCCCTCCTCCCTCCAGCACTAGACCCTTATCTCATCTTCGCTATGCTCCTTTTGGGGTGCGACTGTGTTATCACTGTGCCTTTTGGGTGTTTATTTTGAGGTTTTTGTAAAGAGTAGAAGTGGACCTGGGGGGAGTAGGGGGGGATCGGAGAGTCCTTAAGTCGTTTGGTGTCTCTCCCCCCCCCCCCCCCATTGTTGTGATGTATGTATTTTATTTGGCCCAGCGAGACATTATTTATCTTATATATTCACTTGTTTTTAAATGCCCCTTTTGTTGAATACGTAATCCACTTTTGAAACACAATCACATTGGCTGGTTATTGGCTGGCCAAAGTCAGCAGCAATGGTCAAAACTCAACAGGGCACGGTCTACCGTTGTCACTTGGACACCTTTAACAAATGCTACCGTTCGGTTACCTTCCTGTACACCCAATGCGCAGAAGATAACGGGTGCCCTGTATTTCTCTGCCTCGACTCGCCTTGCTTCTGGCAGTTCCACCGCTCGTGAGGCAGGTTGTTGGGATGCGTGACGTTTGGAGAGCACTCTTGGCTTGGCAGTAACAATCGCATGTGATGTGCACGCATTGCAGGTGATGTCGATGACATGAACATCTGCTATGTCCTGCGGGAAGGTGACAACGCGACGAGTGACATTTTCTACTTCTCCGTGGAAGACAATGGTAAGCGTGGGGGGTGGGGGGGGAGGAGGGAATCTAATAATTACCCCATAAACTTTTTTTTTTTACGGCAAACGTCCCACAAGCATTACCCCTCTTTCGCAAACAACTCAACCGACAGCTGTCACGGCCCCAGATATAAACTCGCCTGTTCATTTGAACTTCGAAAGCTCTAATTTAAAAAAAAAATGTTCACTGTCACTGACGGTCAAGATGTTAGTTGTGCAGTAGTCGCTCAGCGCCGTGCTGTACTGGTTATCCGCAATACACGTGTTGATGGCTTTTGTCTTTGGTTTCCATTGCTGCTGCAATCACGCACGACAGAATATCCAACTCGCTCAAGGGGATCGTCAAATGAACTCAAATTCACGGTATACATCTCAATGTTTCTGCCAACTGGCCGTCTTTCAGATATATCGTTGTGCCCACGCAAAATTGTGGGAGTGCTTAATCTCAACGTGGTTTTGATGGGCCTGATATCTCTGTCCACGTTATTGGAATTAAGAGAGCTACATTGCTGTGAAACGAAACGTAGAACCCGATCCCACCTTAAGAACAACAGTCCTGCAGTTTACGTGCAATATCATTGTTTGGTGCATAACAATTAATTGTTCTTCCAAAATTCATACATTGAATGCTGTAAGCACGAATGCATTATTTTTGATGGATGCTCCAGTAATGTATGCATTAAAAATAATAATAATTTATGCCTCATGGTCAGAATGAAAGAGAGGCAGAACGAACAAGACAGAATAATTTAGATTGACTGCGCGTAGTACAGACGCTGCAAATGATATGGCTCAAACGATAAGGACAGCACTGATCCGACCCAATGTAGACAACACAAAGAGTGGCAAATGACACAGCACAGACTAGGATCAATGCTCGCATAATAACCGTGAGTCTAAATTATTGGCCACTTGTAATGGGTGGTAAAATTGCTTGTTTTGTAAGAGTGGTTACATTTGCAGGTGGTTCGCCACTTGCTGTGCACGCATCAGGTGCTGTCGGTAGGCAGGGCAACCCAACGCAAGGCCGACAGCAGCTGTAGCAGCACTCCGCCGTTGAATCCAGAGGAGGCAACTTTTATTTGACATGGCATGAACAACAAGAGCCAAGTGGGTAGGATGTTGGGTGTGCCTGGTGGATCAGGTACAAGGTTTCCATCTGTCTTGGTTTTCCCAAGATTGTCCTCTTTTTGTGATAGTTGTCTTGGCAAAAGCTGATTTTTTTATTTGGTGTATGTAATGGGTTTACGTGATCCCCTACAGCCACCAGAGATCCTTATAATCACCACATTTTTTTTGGTTCTTTCGGTAAAGTCACGTAGAATGAGAATAAAATAATAGATTGATAAAATAAAATAACACAAATATAATATATTTGTGAATCGAATCGCAACCCTGAGTCGTCACAATTTATGGCGTTGTAAAGGGATGGATATTTCCAATCTTTACTCTCAACACTAACAATTTAGATTTGACCATCGTGTGTGCTTTGGGTTAGCACCATGTCTAGATTTTACCCAGACAGTCTGGGATTTGGTATCTGTGTGCTGCTGGCAGGAATTGATTAGTACCAAGATCTGGTACCAGTATTGTTTTGATAACCTTTAGGCTGATCGAGAAATCTTACTCCTAGTGTGCCCATGCTCTAATGCATGTAAGTATCATTGTAGTTGATGCAATAAATGTGAATTCTCATTGCACTTTCATTGTCATAGAGCCAGGCTCATCAGCTCTGAAGTCGATTTAACAGGCAGGGCTTTAACAGGCAAGCCTTTAGTTAAATAACATTTTGACGCAAGCCCATCGGTTAAAATGACTGAGGTCACCGTGTATGCACATATGCAGCGCCTGGGCCTTTGGCTTAATTTATAGCCTCAAAACCTTTTAAGGAAATTGAACAGTCTGGCGGAAAAATCTGTGCAAATCATTTTTATTGAAAAATGAAAAACAAAATCCATCTAAAATATGAGGCTGCTGTAGCTCTGTAGTGTAAATATTTATATTGTCATATTGATTAGTCCACGCCGATGACATTAAAAAAACAACTGGAATGTAATACACAATACATTTTATTCATTAGGTATTGCATTGTACACATCGATAATCTCAACATCATGTACTTTTTTTATGGAATGATAAAAAAATACTTTCAAAAACCGCACGTGTGAACGAAGCGGCACGCGAGATTTACTTTCGAAGGTGACAGCGAGACAAATGTTTTTTTTTGGTCAGCCCTTCGAGTTAAACTGGAAATGGGTGAGTGGTGATGATTTCGCAATGAGTGATGATGATTTCGCAATGAGGCTGCAGTCACCACCACCTATCCTGGGGTGGTAACTACCAAATAAACCAGTGCTGCTCTAACACCTGGCTCGTGCCTGCTAATTATAATTTGTAGCAAGCACGCAAGCATCTGCTTTCTCACGACGGGTAATAATAGTTGTCTGATAGCTGACAGGTGAAGCTGCCACTGGCTTGGCTCGTGAGATAACAAACGGACGCGTCTCCTTCTCGTTTGCCCAGACTGCGTTTTATTGCTAGCAGAGAGAGAGAGAGAGGGGGAGCTGTGTGAACTGTGTCCGGAGCGCAATGCTACGTGAGTGTATATAATACTGTTTAGTAATTGGTTTTACCCTGATTTAAAGCTTTCGTGACTGCAGTAATTCATATTCTTAGCTCTTTCGGTAAAGTCACGTTAAAGGGAAACAATAAAATAATAAAATATATAAAACAATAAAAAATTCTCACGACGTTTCGACCATAACACAAACGGTCATCATCAGGTGTGAAAAGCAACGGTAAGAAACATTTGAAAGAAGTGTCGGTCCGCATTTATTTATTTATTTTTAAACGGTGTGCTTATTTAAAAAAAAACGTTAGCGCCACGGGCAGCGATTTGGCAGTTTATTTAGAAGGACGAGTCCATCTATGTTCTGAAAAGAGGAGGGGGGAGACGAAAAATTAATGTATGCTGTCTGAAAGCCACCGTAAGCGTGAACAATCAATTAAGACCTGAAATGGTTTATCAAATCTTTCCAATGATTCTGGCTTAGCAATATTGGAAAACAGTATTATATACATTATGAGACCTCCTTTGCCAGTAACAAAATATAGTAATAGGTTTTACCCTTTTAACTGGCACAAAAACTGACACCTTTTGGCGTCTTCTGGTCCAACACCAGTGGAGACTAGGCTCTAAGAAAAGCCGTCTCAGGTGTGGACCAATCAAATTCAAGGACAGTGCATATTATTATCAGAGTTGTCTCTTTTGTTTGCATTTTGACTGCTTGTGTTGTGGTTATTGCAAACATGATGCCTTGAATAAAGGTGTCAGTTTTTGTGCCAGTTAAAAGGGCAAAACCTATTACTATATCTTGTTACTGGCAAAGGAGGTCTCATAATATATATAATACTGTTGCCCAATATTCCACAGCTAATGCCGGCGAGAAGTCACGATTAGAAGTTTAAATTAAGGATTGTAAGTGAGAAAAATATTCACCTGCTCCGCAAGTCAAAGTGGTCCCGGCCTGGCTATGTATTGGGAAATGTGCTTGCCCTTCCGTGGGTTAGTCTGCCACGTAGGTGAGTCATTTTCAGGGTACAGAGTCAAGCGAGGGCTCAGTCTGACTGGAAAGAATCAGGGACCTATGGGACTGATTATGAGCTCCGTGTGGCCCCTTTTACGTCGGTAAAAAAAAGAGATGACCGAAAAATATAGCGTCTTACAGCTGCCAAGATAAAGTCTGCACCGTTGCCAGTCGCACTTGGAAGTTGGCGGTGACGACACATGGCCGAATCTTTTTCACCACCACCACCACCACCACCAGCAGCAGCATCACTTTTTTTTTCAAGGGTGGTCTAAAACATTAATTGGATCTTTCCTTTTGTGGACATTCAATACGCCGTGGCTTAGTCAACCTGGGTGGCTTTCCCCACCTCCTCTGCCCACCCCCCCAAAAAAAAAAAAAGATGAGAAAACCACCTGCCATTCCTCACACGAAAGTGGCGGCACCGTTTCCTGCGGTGGCCTGCGCCACCAACACCTTTTCCACGGGGAGAAAAAAAAAGCTGAGCAGTGGCTTTCAGCCAGGTGGCGTGAAAGGCAGCAGGGAAAAAATATAAAACTCGACACCGCACGCATCAGCTGCAATACACTTGTAATCCAATAGGCAAGAGTGTGTCATCCTCTAAAGTAGCATCCCATTAAAGACGGAGTGGGAAGAGCGAAGGCGTTCAGGGTGCCTTTGGTTGTGATGGCTTGCCAACGTGACGGAGCATCGTGAATGGATCCATAAGTAATTTTATTTGCACGTTCAAGCAAAACTGTGCGTCCAGCAAATGGTACCGACTCGAGCCACGCCACCGGTCACGTTAATGTGAATATTGGAGTTGTTATGATTATCCTGTGGCCAAATCATGTGGGACGCATCTGTGATTTCGTCACATCGCAAATGCTAATCGGCGTTCAGCCTGGATAGTGCGTGGATGATGACCACCACCATGCATAAAATAGGTGATGTAGGCTGCTGTTGTACTATACTATGCTCCAACGTCTAAGCTCCTTGCCTGCGTCAACCCGCACTGGCCAGCTTTTGACAAGTATGGTAAAATAACTCCCATGACTTTCACAGAATGGCGAGGCCCTAATCCACAAGTGCCTTGACAAACACGGGTTGCACATGCATGTACACATCTGCACGTTATCAATTCGTTTTAGGAAGATTCATTATTTTCCCGCCACATATATCAACTACCGCACAGTAAAACACCGCGTTTTACAAATGGGCAGGTAACCGGAAGCCATCCAAATGAACCGTTGGCTTTCAACTCAGACCGAGCGATGACCTATTCAAAGGAAATACGTCAATATTTGTGCTGCCTTTGATCTGGAACGGGGAAAGTCCTATTTTGCTTGGGCAACACCTTCCCACCTTGGATTGGGGCCTCTCCTGGGTTTGCCGACCCTTGTGCGATCCGTCCAGTCCTTCGACGAGT